GAGAGAGAGAGAGAGAGAGAGAGAGAGAATGGAAGGGGGAAGAATGAAAACGCTTTTGGAAATAAGGAGGGGAGGAAAATAGGGTAGAAAAAGAATTAAGAGGTATATACAGGTACGAATTCCCCATGATGAATGTGATCACTACGTATGGTAAATAAGTACTAATTTTAAAAATGGAGGGGCCGGGGATTTAGCTCAGTGGTGCCACCGCCTGCCTGAAAAGCACAAGGACCAAGTTCGATCCCCTCTCCCAAAAAACTAAAATTAAATTTAAAAATGGAAAAAAACATCAATGGACCCCCACAAAAAATAAATAGAATAAAAGAACCGACGCCTGATCCAGTTACGCCATCTGCCTGGCCACTGTCCTTTCCTTTGGGCCTTTATCTCATGTGAGTTCCGGACAGGCTGAGGACCACTTTGCAGGTCTGGTCCTTCTCGCTGGTTCCCGCAGGCCCCTTAGCGCGGATGGGCCCGCCTCGCCTGCCACCCTCTCTAAACTGCGTGAGTTCCAGTCCTGCCCATTCCCAAGCTACACTGAGGAAAACCCACTTCCGCCTCTGCAGTGCTCCAGGGTCAACGGCAGGAGAGCTTGCCAGTTTCATGCTTTGGCTGTCCTGGGCCAAATCCTCACAGACACCAGGAACAGATCTGTGAGCGGAGCAACACCAGAGAGGCCAGCGTGGTGACGCACGCCTGTGATCCCAGCACTCTGGGGGAAGAGGCAGGAGGACCACAGTAAGTTTGAGGCCAGCCTGGGCTAGAGTGAGTGCAGAGCCAGCCTGTACTGCAAAGCAAGACCCCGTCTTAAAAAAAAAAATCAGGGTGACCCTAGGAGACTCCCCACCTGGATAGGCCCCAAGGTCGTGTAGGTATCCTCGTATACATATATATCTATGTATAGATATATGTTTGTATGTACTTATTCTTCTGTTTTTGTTTTGCTGAGACAGGTTCTCACTATGTAACCCAGGCTGATGTGGAACTCACAGCGATCCTCCTGCCTCAGCCTCTCGAGTGCTGGGATTACAGGCGTGCGCCACCACACCTAGTTTATTCTTACACGCACTGAGCTATATCCGCCATCCCTGTTCAGCGAGCCCCTGGGGCAGGCACGGTTCCCAGTCTTCTCTGTTATCCTGGGCCCCGAACAGAGGCTCCAGAGCGGGCTCTGGGCTGTCTTCAGGGCAGCCTGGCCTCTCTGTCTGTGGCAGGACTTTCATTCAGGTCTGGACAGGTTTCAGTAACTCACCGTGGATTTCAGCCACGAGTGCCTGGCAGCCTGCCTACTCTCCCGAGTTGCCGAAGAAAATCTCTGTCGCTTCTGCACGGTGAGTGTTTGGACCGTTTATCCCAGGCTCCCTGTGAATAGTGACACCCTGGAGTCCTCGTTTCGGCCTCGCGCTGCATTGTTTTAAGCTGAAATGTGCCAAAGTGCTTCCAACACATTACCCCGTAATCACTTTCCTTTGCTGCGGAAATGATCGAGAAATTGTGCTTTGATACAAGGAAGGGTGACAGGGCCACCAGGCGCAGAGCTGCGATTTCACAATTATCATTTGTAAAAGGGAAACTATTATCAAAGAAACTGCAGGAGAAGATCTTGGGGACACGTCTTGGAGTCAGAAAATTTGAATCATATATTTCACAGACGTGCATTTTGCTGTAACCCTCTCTGCATAATGCATGAGATTTGATTTAATGTCATTGTTAATTCTGGTGTTCACAATGGTGCTCTCTTAAGGGAGCCGTTATTTTTCTTTCTTTCTTTTTCTGCTTTTTTTTTTTTTTTTTTTTTTTTTTTTTTTTTTTTTTTTTTTTTTTTTTTTTTTTTTTTTCCTGGCAGCAGTATTCTGAGGCTGTTTCGGGGCTGATATGAATTGTGAGAGTGCAGACGCCTTCCTGGGGCGCATGCAGAGGCCAGGTGGCTTTCTTAGAGGTGTGGCCAGGGACACAGTGGCTGATGGCCTCAGGGACCACACTGGGTCACTCTGGGAGCTCGCTGGGGCCTGGGCTGCACCCCCAAGCTGGAGGGTTGTGTAAAAATAAGGAAGAATGAAAGGAAGGAACAAAGAAAGAAGGAAACAAAGGAAAAGTCTTCCTAGCAGAATAGAAAAGAAACTAAATAATGATCAGTTTTGCAGAAGCACAAGGGACCCATTTTGGCCCAGTGCGGCTGCAAGTGACAGAGCTGGGAAGGACAGAGAGGCCACGATCAGGACTGCCGAAAGTGACAGAAGGGACTCACAGGCGCGGAGAGGACAGGACTCAGAGACGGGAGCCCAGGCAGGAAGAAGCAGTAGGGGCGGTGGGGGAGAGAGGAGTCTCAAACGCTGCTGAGGCCAGCCGGCTGGTGGCACCTCCAGCGGTCCTGGGCTCGGGGCCGGGTCCCCCGCAGTCTGTCCCTGGAGCCCTGGGACAGCGCGGTCACAGGCTGCGGTGCCCAGCTGGTGAGCAGTGGCCGGAGCCTCTCGGAGGATGCCCATGCCGGAAGCTGCTGGCTCTGTCACTTCCACACTCCAGGACATTTGCACACTGCTGTCCTCTGCCCAGGCGTCTGTAGCTGTGGAGGAAGTCGCCCCAGTGGGCCTGATGGCTTTCAGAGCAGCGCCAGCCATCTGGGAGGACCAAGATCCGCTTTCCGCTCAAAGATCTAGGTGACTGGCACAGGCACATGTCCAAGGCACAGTGCCGTGGTGCACAACCCTTCCCTGCCCACACGGGGGCGCTGACCCCTCACCCTCTCTGAGGCAGGTGGCGGTCGAACATGTGGGGAGCGATTCCTGCGTTTCTGAACCACATCCTCAGAGCCGGAAGGAAGCAGCTGATTGGGTTCCCACTGTAAGATGGGAAAATTTAGACCGGGTCCCCAAGGTGGCAGAGTAGAGGATCACTCTGTTTGATCCTGGCCCTGCCACTCTTGGGCCATGTAACCAGGCCTATGGGGTCCTTATTTGTGGATTAGGAATAAGAGACTCAGTGGACAAAGACCCACTCCCTGTTCCCATGGTGGCGGATTGGTACTCGACTCCCACCCTGGGGAGCAGGAGGGGACATTCTAAGTGGCCTGTCCAGGGGAGGACACTGGTGTGGTCAGCTGGTGACCAGGGTGACTGGTTGGCAGAGGTTCTCAGCCCCAGGTTTCTGGTCTTCTCTCATGGCAGGGAAGAGGGGTGCCTTTACTGGGGTCCCAAGGGCTGGCCGTCTGATCCAGGGTGGGCATGTGACCTCAGTGTGCCCAGTCAGGATGACGCTGGGGACTTCCTGTTGGAACATGGAACCCAGATGTCTCTTTCCGCACTGTGTTTCACAGGGACGTGGACGGGCCTGCCTGGCACTCTGAGGGGCCACTCTGCCCCGCGGCAGACCAGCTGCTTTATGCCCAGGGCTGCACCCTCCCCAGAGGCCTTTGCAGTCTCCTGTTGAGACCCTGGACTTGGCCAGGGGGATCCAAGGCCACAGGACTCTGGCCAGCTTTGGAAAGAGCTCACCTTAGTTCTGCAGCAGGCTCCTCTGCCCATTTTGGAAGGATGCATTTCGTGGCTGCTGGAGCAGGTGACAGAGCAGAGGCTGAGTCTCCCCAGACACCAGCAGGCCCAGGCCAGACACAGGGGGAGCCCCTAAGTCTCTGGAGCCATCAGCTGAGCCATACTTGTGCTTGTGCCCTTGATGTTCCCAAGGCCCACAAGCTGAAGGCTGGGCCCCCACCTGTGGCACCTCAGACGTGAGGCCTCATGGGAGGACATGGGTCATAGGGGTTGTGGCCTGAGAGGGACTTTGGGACACCCCCCCTCTGCCATGGTGTGCCGCCTCACCACCAGCCAAAAGCAGTGGTGCCAGGAGACTGTGCACGGACCGAGACCTCCAAAATTAGGAGCCAAAGTAAACCTCTCTTCCTTTAGGACTGTTTATCTCTGTACTGTCCCAGTGGTGAGAGGGTAACACATGCACTGGCTCAGTGTGGGCACCCTCAGCCGTTACATGGAGCTTGTTACACAAGAGCGGCAGCACTGACTGCTACATGGTCTTCATCCATATCAGTTATGCCATACTGGACTATAATTTGGGAGAATCACTTTAACAGACACATTATTTTATTCTAGCCACAGCCCAGGAACCATGGAGAAGGGTCTTAGAATCAGAAGCCGGAAATTTCTGCTGGAAGATTCTGAGTTCATTTGATGCTGCTTATTTTATAACAGATAACAAGTTTGCAAAACCCACAGTGAGGACACAGGTGCATCGACTTCCATGGGACATTTCCAGTGCGAGAGGTGGCTCCTGGCTGCCATCAGGGGACACGGAGGCCGGACAGGCCCGGCGAGGGCTTCGGTGGATCTGTGCCCCCACATCCTCTGACGAGGTGGCTACCCTGTCCGCCTGTGTCCGCTCTGCCTGGGCTGTGCTCCCCGGGGGCCTCGAGGGAACTGAAGATCTTCTCGTAGTACTCAATCAGCAGCTCCGTGAACAGGTTCAGGGGCACCAGGGCGTTCAGCGAGGACGCGCCCTGGGAGGGCCAGATCAGGTTCAGCCCGAAGACACAGGCCAGGTTAGAGCTGTTCATCTTGTTGAGAATGCTCTGCTGGGACACCTGAAGACACCACGTGGGACGGGCGTGAACCCCGAGACAGCGGTGGCCCAGACCCCATCCTGACCTCAGGGAAGGATTTGGGTGGAGAGAGCAGTGCGCTGGGAGCCACAGCCAGTGCCGAGGCCTTGGGCAGCCGCCTCTCGCAGGCCAGTCCCCCCGTCTGTAAAAGGAGGGGGTCGGTGTCGGCTCCGACCTTCTGTGAGCTGTCTGCTGGGGTCTCCTCAACTCCCTACCCTCACCCTACACTGCAGCAGCGTCGGAGGCCCACACGCACTGGCACAGCCGGTCCGAGCGAAAGGACCTCTGGCCTCCAGGACAGGGTTAGTGACATGGGGACTCCTGAGGCCAGCTAGCAGAGGCTCCTGGGGAGGGTTGGGAGGTGTGTGAAGACTCCCCACCCCTCGGAGGGCTCTCCATCTGTCCCAGCTGCCAAAACAACTCAGGGGGTGTAATTCACGACTCATGGGGAAACTGAGGCTGGGGATTGACCAGGAGACCTGTCCAGGTCGTCAGCCAGGCAGATCCACCTGGGGCAGGGCCTCTTCTTCCCTTGCCTCACTATAAAACCCAAGCTGGGGGCCTGCGGGAATAAGGACAGGGATGGCACAGAGCTGTCCCATCTCCTCTGCCCCTGCTGGCCGGAAGTGGCATTGCGCCGCTGCGGCCCCAGGCCCGGCAGGCAGTGGGCGGACCTCAGCCACTCACCGTGTGCAGGAAGGCCATGAGGTAGCGGAGGACGGCGGAGTTGTGCTCAGGGAGGCTCTGCAGGATCTGGCGGCAGTGGGTGACGCGCAAACTGCTCTCCACACCTGCAAGGCAAGGACCCTGAGACGGCTCGCAGGGGCTGGGCACAGGCTCGGGGGGAACAGCTCTTGGGGGCACAGGCGAGGCAAAATGGAACTTTAAAAAGTCAGATTTTTTTGTGTTTTGCCTTTAGGGAAGAGGGACTTCTCCAAGCTTCCTCAAGCCTGGGACGTAAACTGCCGCCCCCACCTCCAGCCCAGACGAACGGACAGAGCGCGCAGCTGCGGGGCCCAGAGGTCCAAGTCCAGTTTCATCTCCACAGCGAAGGGAGGAGGAGGCCAGGGCCCGGGAGCTGTGGACCAGGCCTGGACGCATCTACGCGGGGAGATGGGGATCTGAGGTAAATGAACCCTCCGTGTCCTTGGGGCCAGCTCTGAAGAAGCCTTTTTCCTTTTTGCCAAAAGAGACGGCCTCCTTTGACTTGGTAGCTGCAAGCAGGCAGTGGCAGGAACAGGGCAGCCTGGCCCCTGGCCCGAGCCCCCTCGCTCCCGGCCCAGCACCTCCACTTCGCCAGCTCCTTCCACATCCACGCGGTGCCAGAGCAACTGCGGCTGGGGAGGCCGAGCTGCAGCCAGGCCCAAATCTACCCAGCACGGTTGCCAATGAAGATGCCTTGGAACACAGGGCAGCCACTCTGAAATTTTGTCTCTGGTTGTGACGGCTGAGACCGCAGGGCCCCCGAGGCCTGAAACACTTGCTGGCCCTTCCAGGAAAAGCCTGCCAGCGCCGCTCTAGACTGGCTCCTGCTGTTGTGATTCTCAGCACACGAATCCCCATGTCTTAGTGTCCCCTCCCCGGCCTGGATGTAACTGCCCCCTGCGGATGGTAGCAGTCAACTTTCCCGGTGGCTCTGAGCTCCCCAGACAGAACTCCAGGCCCCGCGGAGTCAGGAAGCCTCTCTCTAGGGCGGGCCCAGCATGCCCGGATGACTCTGTGCGTGTCCATCCTGCCTGCCCGTCGCGTGCTGATGGCCGTGCCCTCAGTGAGGTCCTCCTTCACAAGGCCGCCTGGTCCCGTTCTGCCCAGCGTCCTATTCACACCAAGGTGGCCTCTTCCTCCTTCGCAGTGGGACAGTCTCCTCCCACCAGACAGGTCCCGGCCTAGCCGTGTGGGAGACCCCTGGTAAAGGGCTTGTTTCTCCCTCTGGGAGGAGCTGGGGTCCTGGCTCCTGAGTGGTGGCCACGAACTTTGCCTCCAGCCACTGAACTCCCTGAGGTGGGCCAGTGTCACACAGCTGACAGTCCCTGCCCTCTAATCCTAGGACGGGTCCTTGTGGAAGGCAGGCCCCAGCCGGGTCACTCTAACCGGCTACCGTAACTCACCCGGCCCTCATCAGTGACAAGATAATCCTGTCTGTCATGGGGTGTCCAGATGTTCTCCCGGGGCCTCGTGCGTTCCTGCGTGGGATCATGGGGACCTGATACGCACCCGTGGATTGGGCCACTCACTGCTTTATAAGCTAAATGTGACACTGGGAGATAAAGCCTGTGGGAGGAGGTGGGTCACTGGGGGTGTGGCCTGGAAGGGTCTGGCTCCTCCTCCTCGCCCTGGGTCTCTCTGCTTCCTGCCTGCCCTGCCCTGGACTGTTTCTCCTCTGGGATGTCCCTCCATGCTGCCCTGCCTTGGAGCCAGCCGACTGTGGACTGAAACCTCTACAGACTGAGCCCAGAATGAACCTGTCCTCCTTAGAGTTGCGGGGGTTGGGTACTGTGTCTCAGCAACAAGAAAGGAATTAAAATATCAATCCTGGAGAGACTCCACGGTTCAGAGGCCCAGGCCCAGGCCCCCTCCCTGGGAAAGGCGGCCCTCACAGCACAGAGGGCAGCAGCCTGCTGGGGTGTGGCTCGGTGGTGAGCGCTCCCCTACGGCGCCCAGCCCGAGCTCCACCCCAGCTCCCAGGCAAAGCAACAAACAGCACAGAGCCTCTGGACCGTGGAGCTCCAAGAAGCGCCAGGATGCTCCCGAGGCCAAAATGCAGCCGCTCTGCGGCTCCTCCCAGTGCCGTCTCCCTGGCGAGCGGGGCCTGAGAGGCCTCCACTGAGCTGCCAGCCTGTGCCATGGCTGCATGTGAGGCCAGGTTCTCACTCCCCACGCAGCTGCAGTCCTGTGTAAGTGGGGAGACCCACGGGGACCCCAGGCCGCGAACTCCTGTGGGTGGAGGCAGGACCCTGAGGACCCCGGTGAGGAGCTCTGAGTCTCTGGACGCCCTGCTCCACCTCTGAGAGGGCGGCACGGCCTGCTGAGGGCGACAGCCCAGGTCCCCTCTCCACGCCCCCAGAGCCTGACGCACTGGTGATGTCCACGATCCGCTCGTAGGCCTCGAAGGTGAGCAGCGGCTGGGGCAGCTCTCGCAGGAAGGTCTTCAGGATTACGGCCGGGACGTGGATGTCCCCGTAGTCGTCAAAGTTCACGGGCTTCCCTGCGTGCAGACACGGGACGCGACTGAGGGCCAGGACCGGCCTGGGCACTCCGGAGGGGAAGGCTTGGGGTAGCCCCTGGCCTGGGGACCGTGCCATACCCCCCCGGAAGTGGGGTGCACTTTCCTGCCAGCCCCAACCCTCCCTGCCTTTTCCCAGGTGCCTGATTCTGGGCGGTGGGGTGGTCCTGGCCCTGACTAGAGTGCGAGCTGGCGGAGGTCGGTCTTGACTCTCAGAGTCCCTCAGAAGACGAGCGCCCTGCTCAGCACCCTGTGGACTTCGTGTTTGATGAGTGACTGTGCGATCCGTGCCCGGGGAGTGGACAGGGGTAGGGTAAGCTGACAGCATCTTTAAGTCAGATGCCACCTCTCCCAGCTGCAGGGTGAGCGCCCCTCACGGCGTGTCAGGCACCCGATGTGTCCACTGGTGTCAGTGGAGGAAGCTCAAAGGCCAAGAGGCCTCGTGTAACCACCTGGTCCCAACCGGCTGGGGTCTGGAGGGGTGGTGAAGGGCCCAGTTCTGAAGTGTGGGGTGGGGGTCCCTAGCCGCCCCTAGCAGCTGCCTGCCCTGAGCCTTGCTGGGACTGGGTGGGGGCTGCAGCAGGGGCCAAGCAGACTCACCCTGGTCCAGGAGCCGCTGCACCTGGCGGACAGTCTGGGCGCTGGCCGACCTCCGGAACAGGCCCTCGGTGTGCAGCCCTGCGGGGTCGGGGGGAGACCTGGCGTCTCACGGTGCCAGCACAGGGCTGGCAGAAGCTCTGCACCCCGACCTTCCTCCTCCCCAGAGCAGAGATTCGGGCTAAAACCTGGCAGGCCAGTGACCCTCCTACCTCAGCTTTGCAGCGTGCTGGGATCACTACACCCTGCTCGTAGAACGTCTTATGACCAGAAAATGCCATTGCCAGGGCCCCCAGCTAGGGCTGCACTGCAGCCTGGCACCCACAGTACCCTGCGTCTCCATGTGCCCAGGCACCCAGGATCCAGACAGCCACGCAGAAGCCACTCCTGGGCCGCTGTACCCATGGCCTGGCCCTCCTAGTCGCCTCCCTGGATGGCTCCGGTCTTCCCTGGGTGGGCACCCCAGCCCTCAAAGCTCTGGCCCTGGCCAGCCCCTTACCTTTCTCTCGCAGGTACGTCACCGTGAGCCGCAGCACCGGAGGGATGAGCTCGCCCTGATTTTTCTCTCTGAGACTGAGGGCAGAGAAAAGAAAGCGGGGGCTTATACTGGGCTCCATGAGCATAAGGCTCATGAAAATACTCACCGCGGAGCCATCCAGAGGGAGAGAAGCAGCCTCCCTCTGTCCCTAGGAAGTGGCCAAAAGAGCGACGAACAATAAAAAATGAGCCCCAGTGCCAGAACACCATCCCCGTACATGGGACAAGGACAAGTGAGTGGGAGGCTTCCTAGTGGGCAACTTTACAGTGGGGTTTTGAGGGATAAGTAAGAGCCTGCCAGAAGAGAAGAGAGAAGGGACGTCCAGACAGGGAAATGCTCAGGGGAGGTCTGGAGCACAGAAGACTTGGCCATGCTGGAGGAGTGCAGAGGCCTGGCTGGGTGCTGATTCAGTTAGAAGAGTACTTGACGGAGCCCCGGCCGCAGGTCCAGGAAGCAGCACGTACTCGGGGATGAGGAGAAGCGGACTTAGTGCCGCACTCTGATGCCCCCGACCGGGCCCGCGGAGCAGGGGCTCATCACCCGCACACATGGCCCTGTCCTCGCCCCACAGCACCTCCCGCACGCCGGCCCTGGGCTGGCTGGATGACGCAGAGCACGAGCAGGCAGGACCCACACCCCGTCCAGGGTGCACGCAGCTGGCCAAGGCCACCCCTGTGTTTCCCTAAGAAGAGCAGGTCCCGGATGGAGGCCACACCGGGCCCAGAATGGGCTGAGCCCTGGCTGGCCGGAGCACATCATGGAACCCACATAAGAAAAAGGCACCGGTTCCGGGTGTGGTGGCGCACGCCTGTGATCCTGGCACCCGGAGGCTGAGGCAGGAGGATCGCTGTGAGTTCGAGGCCAGCCTCAGCTACATAGCCAGACCCTGTCTCATAAAATAAACAAGAATAAAAGCAGACACAGGACCACCCTCCCCAGAGAGATGAGAATGGACCGTCCTCCGCCCTGGGGGCGCCTCCCACAGCCGGCCGTGACTGGACTACACAGAGTGGCCCCGGTCCACGGCAGAGGCCAGAGTTGGGCCTCCCCTTCCTGCTGGCCCTTCCTGTTGGCTCAGAGAGGCCGTCCTGGCAGAACGGCAGTGCCAGGTGGAATCCCCATGGCCCAGGGGCGGGATCGGGACTGACTGCGCCGGCTGAGCCACGCAGAGAGCTCTCTGGGCCAAGGTCCCACTGTGTGGTGGAGAAGCCGCTCATGGCGCCACTGTGCCCTGGGTCTGCAGAGGGCAGACCTGAGGCTTGGCGAGGTGCCCACTGCACCTGCGGTCACACAGACTAGGGCAGCGGCGGGCGCTTTTATCACTGAGATCCTGAAAACTTTGCCATTGCTGGCCCAGGGGCGGGCTGGCTCTGCAGGCAACGAGAAACTCCTGTGAGGACACAGTGTCTGACAACACGAGGGGGCACCTGGAGACCCACACACCTCACAGCGCAGCCACACGGGGACCCAGGATGGCACGGGGGCCCCTGGGGCATGGGCGGGACCGTGATGTGTGACCCAGGGACAGTGCCATGGGTAGGGGACCCGAGACCAGCACGCCCCCAGCACGTGGCGGGAGAGGGAGAGAGAGGGGCGCCAGGCTCCCATCCTCCCCCCCGGGCCAAAGTGGCCTTGGCACTGCAAAGAGCTGGGCTCTGGGGAGGCTCAGAAGCCAGGGGCCACATCGTCCTGCTCGCTGACAGGCGGCCCGAGGGACAGCCTGACTCTGTCACCTTGGACCCCGTTTTCTCCAATGGAGAGAGGCAGGGAGGGCAGCACCCCAAGCTGGTTCTCCCTTGAGCTGGCAAGGTGAGCAGTCCCTCTTCTTTCCTCCCCGCCTCCTGGCCCCTCACCTCCACAGGAAGAAACCAGAACACATAAAGGTGACTAGAGAGCGTGCAAATGCATGCTTACGTTGGTCATTCTTTTTTCCTCCACCACCTGATTTAAAAGTCCACTGCAGAGAGCAAGAATTAAGAGTGTGCTCTAGCCGGGCCTGGTGGCGCACGCCTGCAATCCCAGCACTTGGGAGGCTGAGGCAGGAGGATCTCTGTGAGTTCGAGACCAGCATGGGCTCCACAGTGAGTTCCAGGTCAGTCTCAACTACATAGTGAGACCCTGTCTCAAAAAAACAAAAAGCAAACAAAAAAATAACTACCAAAACTCATTCAGGAAGAAATATAAACTCTGAATAGACAAAGCAAGTAAAGAAGGAACTGCCTGCAAAGAAAAGCCCAGAGATCAGGTGGATTCACTGGTGAATTCTACCAAATGTTTAAAGAAGGATCAACTCTAATCCTGTACAAACTCCAAGCCAAAACTAGGACAGGAAGGAACATTTCCAACCCATTCCACGAGGGGCTGGTTCCCTAAACTAGACAAAAATGTCACAAGACAAGCAAACCAGGGACAAATATCTCCTGTGAGCACAGAAGACACAGAATACTAGCTAGCAAATCCAGTAAGAGATTTAAAGGACTGCCCACCTTTAGTGACAAATGTGCCTAATTTATCCTGGGAAGGAAAGCTCCACCCACAGGTGACAGCGTCACTGCCCCACAGCACTGAGACGCATGGCAGGGCCCAAGCCACGCCTCATCCCTGGAGGGGCTGAAAAAGCACTTGACAAAATGGCATCCCCATCCTAACCCTTGCCACGCACAAACAAGACATTTAAGAAAATAGGAATATAAATACAGGAACCTAGGGGCTGCCGATTTAGCTCAGTGGTGCCGCTGCCTGCCTCACAAGGACCCGAGTTCGATCCCTGGTCGCCCCCCCCCGCCAAAGAATCGCTCTCACTGCAGGGAGGTTGCAGTCAGGTCAACTAAAGTGAAATATGAGGTATCAGATTGGAGAGGAAGAGGGAAAACAGTTTCTGTGCGCTAATATAGAAGATAGAGAAAATCCTAAAACAAGAAAAACAAAACTTTTTAAAATTAATGAATGCGCTTTGGGAAGGTTGTGGGATACCAGCTCGAGGGATGAATGAACACCAACTGTATTTCCACACACTAGCAGCAAACAACCCACATTTAAATGAAGAGAATGCATGTCTGTTGAAAATCATCACAAAAATAAAATACTCGAGAAAGAAATTTAACGGAAGCGTGTAACATGGGTGCGGTGAAACATATGAAACATCACTGAAAGAAATCAGAAGGAAGTCACACTTGTCACAACCCCACAGGTCCCAGTGTAGCACGATCCCCACGGAGGCCCCCCCGCTTTCTACAGAACCTAACAAGCCTGTGCGAACGTGGGGCGCAGAAATATCTAAACGATCCCAGAAGACAGAACCATATTTTTAAGAGTTAGAGTCTTGCTGCGTTTCCTGGCTGGGCTCATGAGATCCTCCTGCCTCAGCCTCCCAACTAGCCGGGGACCTACAGCATTCACCTCCACACCAAGCAAAAATGATCTTACAACAAAATCAGAAGACTCATACTTCCTAATGTCAAAATTTACTACTGAGCTAAAATAACCAAGACTGTGTGGTACTGGCCCAGGCTAAACATAGAGATCAACTGTGTAGGATTACCCTAGAAATCCACCCTTGAATTTACAGTCGATTGCTGGTTTGTTTTTGTGGTATCTTTTTGTTTTTTCACTTTGAGACAAAGTCTTGCTAGGTTGCCCAGGCTGGGCTTAAACTCACAATCCTCCTGTCTCAGCCTTGCAGCGTGCTGGGATTACAGGTGTGTGAGGCCATGGACTGGTTTCTGACGTGAGTTCCAGAACATTAAGACGGGGAAACAACAATCTTCTCAACAGATTGCACTGAAGAATGAGGTGGGACCCTAGAACGCGCACAAAAATCTCCTCAAAAGGGGCTGCAGACATACATCTGACACGCATCACCAGGAAACAGCAGCTACAACCCACAGAACAGGAGAAAACATTGCAAACCGTAAGGCCCGAGTACCCAGGCTATAGAGAACGCTGCTTCAACAACAACAAAAAGGCAAAAACCACAAATAACCAACGGTAAAGAATCCAGTGAAGATCTCTGCAAAGAAGATACACAAAAAGATACAGGGCACCATTAGCCCTGAGGGAAACACAAGTCAAAACTCCAACGAACTGTGCGTCAGGCCCACTGCCACGCTCAGAAGAAAGGAGAGAAATAAAAACAAGTGTTGGGGATGACACGGGGAGAGTGAGGTCACTTATTGAACCTATGGATACACGGAATCTGGGCCACCCCCACCACAGGATGTATCCGGCCACCTCGTGTGCAGACCTTGAACCTTCAGAGAGAGGATGAGGCTCCACGTGGCCTCAGGGTGTGAGGTTCTGTTTCCGGAAGGCCAGGAATAAGCAGAGCCAGAGCACAGAATTTGTCAGGGGCTGCTAATAGATATGAGTTGGTTTTGGGTTTTTTTTTTTTTTGGTACCAGGAATCAAACTTGGGTCCTTGCACTTGGGAGGCAGGGGATGGAACCATGGAGCTACATCCCTGGCCCTAGATATGAGTTTTGTGTGTGTGTGTGTGTGTGTGTGTGTGTGTGTGTGTGTGTGTGATGGAAATGTCAGGCAATGGTTGTACAGGTTTGTGAGTGCACTAAGGCCACAGAATTCCACGCTTAGACGGGAAAAGAGGAAAAATAATCCTGGGCTGGGTCGGGCCCTGGCCCTACTTGTAGGTTGTCTCTTTATAGTCACTGAGTGCTGCCCTGTGCTGCCTGGCTGTGACGGTGTGGGGAGTGTGCGTGTGTGTGTGTGTGTGTGCGCTCGCGTGTGTGTGGGGAGCACACATCCCAGGCAGTGAGCAGCTCAGGACGGCTGCATGCTGTGTACATGCGCTGTGGTCACTCCCAGGGCCCAAGGTGGGAGGACGGGGCTTCCCCTCCACTTACAGAGAAAGAAATGACAAGAGGAAGTGACCAGGACAGGGGATGGAGCTCGGGAACACAGCTCCTGCCTTGGCAAACATGAGGCCCTGAGTTCGATTCCCGGTACAAAAAAAAAAGAGGTAAGTGACCAGCTGGGCTTCTTGGAGGAGGAAACTGCCAGAACTCAGATGTCCCCGCCGTCCCCCACACGAAGGAGGCCTGGTCCTCTCTGCCGGACCCACGGCTGCCCGGACCAGGCCCCCTGCTTCATCCTCCCCTGAGGACGCGGGCGAGACCCCTGCATCTCCTTCCAAACTCAGGGCGTCTTCCCGCTCCGAGGCAACAGCGCTCTGTTGGGTGCTTTTGAACTTCGCTTGGCAAATTAACATTTGTGAATAGGATTTGGTTATGAATTTTAATGACTTTCATTCATTCGCAGTCCAAACAAATTACATATCTGGTGCTTTATTTAATATGTTTATTGCCATTTTATTACAGTCATTGGCAATGAAACGGCATAAAATATTAATTTAAAGAGGCGATTGCACAGATTCGCTCTCACAGTGGAATGCGCAGAATGTTTTCCAACTGTCACCTGATGTTTCTCATCGTTCCCTAAAGAGATAATGAACTGATTTTATTTTAGTTTATTTTGAAGTGCTGGGCACGGAACCCTGGGCCTGGTGCGCGCTAAGTAGGTTCTCAACACTGTGCTACCCCCGGGTAGGTTCTGTTTCACTTTATTTTTTGCAGTACTAGAGATCAAATCCAGGGTCTTCTCCCTGACCTACATCCCTGGTTATTTTTACTTTTTGATTTTGAGAGAGGGTATCACTGAGTCTCTGAGTAGCCCAAGCTGGGCTAAAACTTGCCATCCTCCTGCCTCAGCCTCCCCGACTGCTCAGATAACGTGTGCAGCACCCCATCTGGCTCCAGCTCTGTTCAATGAACTGGTTTTTAAGAAGTGCAGTTGGCCCTAGAATAGGTACGGACTGCGGCACAGTGACAGAGGCAGCAAAAGCCCTGACATCTCCTCACAGCTCAGTGTCACCAAGTTTTTTGGTCTTTTGTTTGTTTGTTTGTTTGTTTGTTGAGACAGGGTCTCACTATGTAACTGAGACTGACCTGGAACTCACTATGCAGCCCAGGCTGGTCTCGAACTCACAGCGATCCTCCTGCCTCAGCCTCCCGAGTGCTGGGATTACAGGTGTGCACCACCACGCCCGGCCAGTGTCACCGAGTTTTGACAGTGCACACAATATGACACCAGGGGTGTCCCTGTGTCCCCAACGCAGTGGGGGAACCATGCAAATGACTTAACAGTTTCACTATCTATGACTCAGGCGGTGCTGGAAGGGACTATGAGGGATATGCTGGCCATCGGGAGGGCATGGCTGGCACCTTCATGCTAAGGGACTGACCCTGAGTCAGAGGTCGCGGGCAGCAGCACCCACCCACAGAGCCACAGTAACAAGCTGTGTACACTGAGATCTCAGAAACCCAAACCGGGGAGGAAACCCTGGGGACTGGTCCTGGAGGGTTGGATCCTCACGAGCGCCCCCTAAAGGGGCCTGAGGTCACTGCGGGCACCTGTTGCACCCGGACCTCTAGGGCAGATCAGAGGGAAGAGAGGGCAATGAACGGTCCACGTCAGCACATTTCCACGGTGTTTGAAAAAGCAAGCCAGGCGTGGTGGTAGATACTTGTAATTCCAGCCCCCCGGGAGCCTGAGGCAGGAGGATGGCAAGTTTGAAGCCCACCTGGGTGACTCAGTGAGATCCCATTTGAAAAAAAAATGGGCTGGGGATGTAGCTCAGTGCAAAGATTCATAGAGCTCATTAATAATTAATAATTAATAATAATAATAATAATAAGGTTTAGTAGTAAAACCTGTGTTTTGGGAAATGGGAAGAAAATGTTCAAATGAGAAGGGGAACAGGGAGCAGGCAGGGGCAAAGGAAAGAGGGCACAGGAAAAAGAGAATAGAAGGGAAAATGGGAACAAAGCTTTTATGAATAAGAAAGGGAATGGGAAAAAAGAAGCAGCGAGATATATCATGTACAGGCACAGGTTCCCTCTGATGACTGTTATCATTATGTATAAAACGTACCAATAAATGTTTTGCTTAAAAAAAACTTTTCTTAACGTTCTTTTTTATGCTTGAAGTGCCCAGAAATAACTGCCAGTGAAGGTTTTTGAACAATGATCTATTCAAGTTTTTGGTAATTGTAAATCAATGAGAATTTTTGCCTAAACAGGAGATAAAATGTTAAAGCTTTAAAAATTACCCTGCAAAGCCTGTAATCCCAGCACTCAGGAGGCTGAGGCAGGAGGATCGCTGTGAGTTCGAGACCAGCCTGGGCTACATAGTGAGTTCCAGGTCAGTCTCAACTACATAGCAAGACCCTGTCTCAAAAACAAAACAAAACAAAACAACAACAACAACAAAAAAGCCAACCCAAAATAAAAATAAAACCACCCTTGCAAATGTATACAGTGGTTGAAATTATCCTTAAAGAGTTTGGGCTGGGGATGGAGCTCAGTGGTTCCTCTCAAGTGCAAGGACCCCAATTCAATCCCCAGTACCAAGAAAAAAAGAGTTCAACAGCTCATGATTTCTTGCATGAGCATGAAGGGTTAAACTTTTCCTACACAAAACCAAAACAACAACAACAAAAAAGCCAACCCAAAATAAAAATAAAACCACCCTTGCAAATGTATACAGTGGTTGAAATTATCCTTAAAGAGTTTGGGCTGGGGATGGAGCTCAGTGGTTCCTCTCAAGTGCAAGGACCCCAATTCAATCCCCAGTACCAAGAAAAAAAGAGTTCAACAGCTCATGATTTCTTGCATGAGCATGAAGGGTTAAACTTTTCCTACTGCTCTTTTGAGATAATGCTCGCCCTCTGAAGCCCACCATGCAGAAGGCTCGGATATCAGGCCAGGGCAAAAAACAGAAAAACAACAAAAGAAACCCAAACCTGTACTGCAGATGTTTGGGGGTGCAGACAGTGTATCTGAGCAGGCACCCTGACTTCTGGCTAATTTTTTTACAAAGTGCTGCCTGGCGCCTCTCCCTGGATACCTCCTGTGTGCCTGCAGATGGGGGCTTGGTGATACAGTAGCCAGCAGAGATACGCACTGTTTGTTTGTTTGTTTGTTTTGGTACCGGGGATTGAACTCAGATCCTTGCCCTTGCAAGGCAGGCCACCGAACTGCTGAGCTAAATCCCCGGCCCGATACGAACTGTTTAAATTTAAGTAAAAATGACAGAAATCATGAGCGCATCGTGGGAGTGGCCCTGGCCCCGTGCTGAGTGCCAGTGGCCACACGTGGCTGGTGGCTGCCATGGGACACACGGTGCAGCTGCACCCGTCACAGCAGGGCGTCCCATCAGACAGCCCTGGTGGGGAGCAACGTCCTCTCCAGCTGTGACACCCTGAGACTTCGCACCCCTCCAAACAGCTGCAGACACCGGCCTCACCCTGCCTTGGTCTCCCACCTCTGCGGCACTTTCTGTGGCAGCCCAAATACGAACAGAACCATCTTAGAGTCCAGAGGGGTCGAGTCTGTGCGGGTGCCGCACCTGCCTCACGGGCTTGAGTTCAACCCCAGGTACCAAAGCGGGGCCAGGGGCTGCCAGCCCTGGAGGATCCCTTGGAGGTGCCTGCACTCTGACTCACGCTGACCTCTCCTCCCACCCGGCCGTCACCTGCTCTGACTCAGACCCTTACGGACCCTGGTGGTGACTTTGGGCCACCCAGATAATAACCCGAGAAAACTCCCCTCCAAGGTCCTCCACTTGGCCACAGCTGCAGAGTTCCTTTTGCCACATAAGGTGACACAGTCACAGGTTTCAGGGGACCAGGATGGAGTCATCTTCGGGACGCTGGGCCACCTCCAGGACCTGCCGCCACTCACGGGTGGTGTACGTCCCTCTGTCCCCACGCTCCCGGCACACCGTGTATGGGACGGCCCCTGGCCCGGGACTCGCTGCACAGACCCAGCGTGCTGGGACAGCAGGGAGACGCCGGGATGTCACAGGCGAGAGCAGCCGCTGACCCAGGTCTTCCACAAGGAAGATGCCCCTGCCCCTAAAACACAGGAAGTTTCCTACCCGACCTCCACGCTCAGGACCCGATGTGCAACCGCCAGACCTGGTCACTCCAGTGGGGCCAGAGAGCCCGTCCTTGTCCTCTGCTAATGTCCAGTCTGATCTGCCTCACCAAGTCGTCCCCTCCAGCTCTCCTCTGCCAGCCCAGGTCCCTCTGGATCCCTCAGTTTTTTTTTTTTGTACTGGGGATCGAACTTGAGACCTTGTGCTTATGAGGCAGGCAGCAGAGCCACTATGCTAAATTCCCAGTCCACAGATCCCTCACTTTCTGATCAAAGCCCTGCCTATCTCTCACTCCTTGGCCTGGCTGTAACTTCCGGTCAAAGGACACCCCCATGAGGACTTGTGAGGACGCCGCCCTGGTGCCGGGAAGGGAAAGTGACAGAGGACGGCACGTTTCAGATGCGCCTCCTCCTTGTCCGGTGCTAGGAACCTGTCACGGGCCCAGCCCACACCTGTTAGGCCAGTGAGGGGCCCAAAGATAGTCATATTTTTTGAAAAAAGCAAATTGCATGTGTTTCTCATAAAAACTAACTGAAAACAAACCGTGCTCCAGGACACCAGGTCGCCCCTCCAAACGCTGCGTGTGTCTGACCCAACCGGCCGTGGCAGATGGAGGACAAACACCTCTTGCAAGTTCCTCCAGGCAGATCTACGACCAGCCAGGGCAAGGGACAGGAGGGACAAACTGACGACCTGGCACTAGGAGGGCTGCAGAGACACCGTGGCAGCCTGCTGGGGCCAGGATGCTGGGGAGGGGCTGTGCGCAGTCAGGGATGTGGGAGACCAGGATCACCCCGGGAGGAAGATGGCTTCCAGACTCACACCGCTTCCCCCAGGTGTGATGCTGCCTGCGCCTCCCATGGAAGGTGGCGGGGGACCCAGCCTGGAGCCTGGAGGGCAGGACCCCGACCCTCTGCCGCCAACTGCTGGGTCCCCACCCATGCAGAGCTGTAAACCCTCGGCCTCGTGTTAAGCTGGGCCGGTGGGGACCAAGGTCTGGGGAGAGCGTCCCAGACACAGGTGTGTCCTGGGCTGAGGGACAGGACGGCCGCTAGGCTCACTCACTATTGCAGGCTGACGCCGAACTGCTGCGTGGGCAGGGGCGGCCGTGGGGGTGGCGTCTTGGCAGAAGGCTGCGGCCGCCCCTCGTGCAGGCTGCGGAGCTTCTCATCATGCCTGCAACAGGAGAGAGGGGAGGTCACACCTCGTGGGGGACGCCCAGGGCCATGGGACGCCAACTCTGGGTGCCACGTGGAGATGCGTCACTCCCGGAGGGCCACATCCTCTCTCACACGCACACACTTGAAATTCCCCCCTGCCTGGGGTCCGTGCAAAAGCCAGGAAGTGTGGCCCAACCAGGGCAAGCAGGGCAGGTGGGGAAGCTGAGGTTCGGCTGGGTCGGGGTCCTAGGTGCCCGTCCTCCCTTTGCGCTGGGGTCTCCTGCACCCACCTGGGGTGCGAGGGCGAAGTACTAGCTTGCAGCCTCCACCACACATCAGACTGTGACCCTGGGGCCTGCTGTGGGGTCCAGGACCTCCCGATGGCCTGGCCAGTCCCTCCTGACCTTGTCCCTGCTGACCCACAGGACTTGTGCCTTCAGAGTCACTCTCACAGGTGAGGGGATGAGAGGCTGCTCTCGGTCACCAGATGTGATAAGGTACAGCAGTACATCCCGGATGGGGCTTCATCCAAACCCACAGGAAGCCATGGATGTCCTTGTCACCCCAGGGCCTCGGGGTCCAGTTCCCACTGAGTGAGGAGGCCCCTGCTGCCCAGTACTCTGCTTGGGGCCATTCCTGCCCACGTCCACGGAAATCCCTTTCTCCGCCCCTCAACCTGGCCGACTGTCCCTCTGAGATGCAGGAAGACTCTTCTTCCTGGGGTCTCCTGGGGTCCTGCTCTCACCCCGTGGGGCCCCTGCTAGCCTGGGAGTTTACTGTGGACGGGGACCTCATCACGTCACACGCACAGTGTCCCCCTTGGCACACCGTGGTGAGGGCCCCGGGGGCTGAGCAGGGAAGGAGGCAGAGAGCGGAGGGGACCCGGGGGTGGGGACCCCAGAGAAGCCCTAAACGCGGCCCGCTCTGCCCGGGCTGTGTGGCCAGGGCCACGCCTTGCTTAGCTGCCCCTAAGCTTCCAGCAGTTTGAGACTCGGGGAGAGCTGCTTTTCCAGGACACCGTGACTTGCGGAGAACCTGTCATTCCACACACGGCGGGAGAACCACAAGCCCCGATTTCCTGCTCAGGAGCAGAAACAGCAAACACGGGGGCAGTGAGCTGTGACTGCCAGGCTACGCCTCGTGTTTTCAATCAGTTCTGCCCCGAGGAAAACTTCAGCCCGCGCACGTGGCTTCGCTTCCGTGACAGCGCGGTCTTCGTGGAAGCCACGGAGTCCGGGGCTGAATCCAGGTGCGGGTTCGGAGGTTGAGGCCCAGGGAGACGGGTCTGGGTCTGGGGGCCCGCACGGGCCGGGGCAGACTCACCGCAGCACCTCCGGGGGGATGGGCAGCTGGTCATACTCGTACTGGAGGTGTTCCCGGAGCTCGCTCAGGTAGCTGAAGTAGGTGACCTTTTTCCCAAACTTGTGGCTGAGAAAACAGAGGTCAGAGGAGGACGGTTAAGGGGCAGCGGAGAGGCTGGGGGCTGCGGGCGGCGAAGGAGCGAAGCGAGGGTGTTCCGCGTTAAGAAAATGTAAAAGCTGACACAGCTTAAAACCAGGACATAAAGGAAGCAGCCCACGTGGTCGGGAAAGCTTGGCTTGCAGGAGAGAGGGAGAGGCGCCCCACACTCATCTGCATAAAAATAAGTAGCTGCCTCTGCAGTGCATTTGCATGGATACAGGAGGTGGTGCTGGAGCAGGAAAGGCCACGGAGCAGGAAAGGCCACGAGGGACAGGAGACTGAGGATGAGGACAGGGCCAGCCCCGCCTGGGCAGCCGCAGTGACGGGAGGTGGCTCCCACTGGCCTGTCCACGGCCGTTCCTGGTGACCCCAGGAAGCCAGGGGAGCCAGGAGCTGAGCAACCCTGGCCACATCAGCGACTCCACTCGGGACCATTCACCCCACCAACGGAGGTCAGGGTCCCCTATTCAGACGGGGGCTGTCCCTCCCTGGGCAGGCGACAGTTATTGTCATGAATGAGGCTCAGTTTCCTCCAACGCAAAACATACTCTGGTTTTATTTCGCAAATCCCTAGAACAGCTATTTCCTGGCTGTATATTTAAATCGCACAGCTAGCGACGTGGGGAACGGATGGCACAGTTGCCAGAAAAGGAAAGTTACGTACTCAGCAAAACCAAACACATTTTATCACTGTTATAATGCACAAGCGTTGAAATAAAAATCCAAGTGTTCTAAATGTCCTATACGGTGTGAAATTAAAATGACCCAATTTAACATCGCAAAAAATAAACCCCCACCATGGGGATTGTGACAGGATTAACGTGTGAGACAAATTCAAATGCTCAGCCCAGGCCAGGCCCCAGTGTTAGGTCACTTCCTAAACTAGTTTCTGGGGGATTCGGGTCTCTGTCTGCTCCCAGACCCCAGGGGAGGCTGCACTGGCGCACCCTAGTGGCCAAGGGAAATCAGACTTGGGCGTCCAGGCTCCCAGCCACCTGCAGGTGGCTCTCCTGGGATGATTTTGGTGGGGTGTTCAAGGACGCTGCTGGGTAGGAGGCCACGAACCTGAGCTGGAGGCCAGAGCCACAGGGTGCCCAGCACCGAAAGGACAAGGTCCTACAGGAGTGCCCTGTCCCCTGTGCTTCAAAGTGTGCAGTGCCTGGGACAGCTGGCCCCAGGCAGAGAAAGGCTGCTTGACAGCCAGAGTGATGGACCAGAGGGTCCACCGAGGCCACAGGCCTTGGCTGTCCACAGGACTGTCCAGACAGGCCTCCCGGCCACCTACTCATGCGGGACCCCTGGCCGGGCGTCTGCTAGATGCCAGGCTGCAGAGGCACGGCATCCAGGGCCCTGCCCTCTGCCCCTCATACCCTAAAGAGCCCAGGCCCAGCTCAGCCTGGGACCCCAGCACATGAGATGGCGGAATCACTAGGACTTGTGTTGGCACTGCAGGTGCCAGGCCTTAGTTCAGCGTGTGTGAGTCCAGGGGTCTGGGGTTCCCTACGTGCGGGCCTTCTAGAGTTGCTGCTTTCATCCACATCCTCCAATTCAAACAGGATCCGAGGCACAGTGGGGTCAGGTGGCTGCTGAACCACACACAGCCAACAGGGCAGTTGGCCTGGTTTCAGGGCTGCGGCAGGGTCCTCCCCTGGCATCGGCTCATGCCCAGGTCTGGGGGAGGATGAGGGTAAACCACATAGGGTGGAGCCAGAATCCCAGCCAGAGTCCTTTCTGGGACCTGGGAAAGGCTTCGGAACCACTCTGAGTGTCAAGCCCCTCTTCTCTGAAGTAAGGAGAGCTGGCCAGCTTGCAGAGAAAGGTGCATAAGACACTGCAATCAATGATCCATCTGACAACCTGAGAGCTTTCCAGACCCCGGCAGCCTTTCCAAGGTGAAGGACGTCATATAGAGTTGGCATTTGACACTATCTACAGCTCCCAGGTGACCACGAGCGGCCGCCTCACTGTCCATGTCACCCAGATGCTGGGCAATTCATCTCCCGGGGTGGGGGCTGCAGCTCAGGTGCAGGGTGAGGAGATCACATGAAATGGAGGCACCCCTCTTCTCAGCCCTGAGATCTCTAAGTCCACTATCCCCAAATTCTCCGGGAGGTGGTCCCAGGTCCCAGTGGGCAGCTGCCCTTGCCTCCGAGAAGCTGCTCGGCTCCAGAACAGACCTCGGCATCCTGAGCATCCTCAGCCGTGACCCAGGGCCTCTCTGTGTCTGCGTGTGGGAGGAGGCCGAGACCTCCGGGGGAGGCAGGAAGAGGTGGGGAGAGGGGGCTGGGCGTCCGGCAAGGCTAGTGGGGTGGGACGGGACCACAAGGCTGACCAGGAGCCACTGACTAGGTGTGTATGTGAGCTCGTGTGCACAGGTGTGTGTGCAGGCACGTGCACGCATGGGCACACAGGACACGAGGATCTGGTGAGACAAGAAGGGGCTGGCAGGGCCTGAGCACCAGAGCCTGAGCATTGGGTACGCTCAGCAAGACTGGCTGAGTTCCGGCTGCAGGCCCAGGCCCAGAAGCCCACACAGGTCTTGGTGGGGTGAGCAGCCTGTGGCGCGCCTGGTCCCTGAGGGGCTTCACGGTGCACCCTTCCAGCTTCGGGAGGTGCCCTTGACTTGAGACCCTGACTCCATCTTGCAAGTCAGCTCTGCGGCCTCTCTGAGACTCACCGACCTCCTCCTCTCTCCTCAGCCCCTCTGGCCCAGCCCGATAACCCTGGAAACTTCCCAGAGTGAGTCTGTCACGTAGCCGCATGCGCAACGTCCCTGCTGCCATGAGAGGTGACACATTCAGACTCCAGGGACTTGGGTGTGGACATTGCTGGGGCCATCATCCCGCTGACCACACTGTGAGGAAGGGCTGCAGACCCCGAGGACAGTCTTGCAGCTGTGGTAGCAGACACGGGGACACGGGGACAGGACGGGACGCAGCAGTTCAGCCCTCGGGGAGGGGCTGGCAGGTGAGGGCTCAGGTGTCAGAGGCCCAGAGCTGTCCCTGCTTTGGGGGCTGGGCCACTTCCGGGAGTCAGAGGGGTGTGGAGGTGACCCTGGCTCCCTGAGCTCTGCCGAGTCCCTCGTCTGTACACAGGATACACCACCCACCTCCCACGGTGGCTTAGGGCTTCAGAAGCCATGGAGGTAAGGAGCCACAGGTCTGTGAGCCTCTGAGGGTGGGTTTAAGAGAATGGGCTAAAGGGCACACAGGGAAACAGCAGAGGCCTTCCAGGGCCATGTGCAGGAAAGGGGAACACTCCTCCCCATGGGCCAAACCCTCAAGACCATGAGCCAAATAAACCCTTCTTTTATGCGGCCTGTGTCAAACACTTTGTCCCAGCGATCAGAAAGAGGCGCAGGCACCCTCTCAGATGCCACCACCTCACCCAAGTGTCCTCATGTCCCTTGTGCCCACCTGGGCCCTCCTAGACTGAGTTTGTCCAGGGTTGGGCCAGAAACACCAGGCAGGGACTGAGTCTGCAGGTCTGGGCACGGCCCCATACCTGGGTTGCCCGCTGTCCCACACCTGCTGCCTGGCCGTGTGCTTGGGTGGCCGAAATGGGGGAAAGAGAAGGTGCTCGTGTGAGCCTGGCACAGCCTGGGTCTCACCACCCGCCGGGCTGCCACCCAGAGGGAAGCGGTCTAGCTGAGGAGGAGCCCAACTGTCGTCCCCAGGTGCCTGGGTAGTGGCTTGGGTTGGGTGTGGTCAAGGGAACCTGCAGGCTTGGAGCATCTAAACTGCACATTCTTGGGGAGGCCCTGGCCCTGGCCGGCTCCCGGGTGCCCCGAGTTCCTGGAATATCCTCTTCTCACCCTGGGCCTTGGGCCACCCCATGTGGTTTATGCCAGCTGAGGGATGGCAGGGGTAGGGCTTCCAGCAGGGACAGAGACAGTCACTGAGGTCAGCTGGGTAGCTCTAGGCCCTCAGGGCTGGTTGCAAGGAAATCCCTGGGTGCCGAGGCTCAGGCGCCTCTCCGGGAGCAGTGTCCACCGTGGGTCACGGTCATTGCTGCAAGCACTCAGTGCAGGCCCACGGGGCAGGGGCTTTGCCCGCCCTCCAGGCCCTCACTGTGTCCCGTCCCCACCCCCGCCCCAGCACAGGCTGAACAGTGAGGATAAGCACTCTGGGTTCCGAGTCCTTCTAGAGAATCAGAGCTTCGGAAGGCTCGGCGGACCCCGGCACAGCTATGGCACGGGAGGCTGGAGACACCGGTGCATACCCTGCAGGTGTGGCGGGCGGCCGTCCACGACCTGGCCGTCCTGGGACTCTGTGGGCAGCACAGCGCAACCTGGGCCCTGCGGGGTCTTCACAGAGACAGGCGTACCTGATGAGCGGCCGGAAGAGGTTCCACAGGACCTTGATGAAGCTGGTGGGGTGCACCACGTACAGGGCCTTCAGGTTCTTCCTGTACCTGTGGAGGGGAACGAGAGCAGCCCTGGGTCTCAGGAAGAGTCCGATGCCAAACAAACAGAAGGAAAGCAGTAAACAGGCCTAGAATCCTAGCACTCTAGGAGACTGAGGCAGGACGGTCACAAAGGAAAACCCAGCCTGGGCAACTCAGTGACTTAGCAAGACCCTGTCTCAAAATGAAGTTTTTAAAAGGGTCGGGATGGAGCTCAGTGTGGAGGTCCTGGGTTCAATCCTCAGCCTCACACAAAAAAAGAAGGGGCTCAAAAGTGGGGAGAACAGTACTCCTCACCTACCACCACTGTGTGGCTGCTCCCTGCTGGGGAGGGGCAAGGAGGACGGCCGGGGACAGCTTGGTGACCACCGGCCTTCACCCCGGAGCCTGCACGAGACCTTTCGCTTGGGGACGCCGGGTCCGGAGGAACTCAGGGAACTGCAGGGGGCCCTGGGGGACAGGAAGCTTCTTGGCCTCCCCGCATCCCTGCTCCAACCCTACACCTGCACACATCTGTGCGAGGCTGGCCACGTTGGGAGCTGAGAGGGCGACACGTGGCCTGCAAGGAGCCCAGCCAGAGAGACGCCGGGGCCAGGGCTTAGCATCCCGAATCCCCACTGTCAGAGTGTCAGGGAATGCAGCGCCTGCTTGTGAAAAAACAGCTCTGAGTAAATACGAAATGCTACTGTGAGAATGAGGGTCTCAGCCATCCGAGCCCATCGACTGCCACGTACAGATGCTGAGGTTCTCGAGGGCCACTGCAGCGGCGGCGGGCACCTGTATGAAGGGAGCCGAGACGCAGCTCCGCCCTTCTCTGTATCCAGGGGCCTCACCTCGGGGGCAGGAGGCTGGGCCGGGAAGCAGGGCCTGGGCGGGCAGGGTGGGGAAGTGACCAGGGCTGAGTCCAGAGAGGGTGAGGAGGCGCGAGAGCGGAGACAGCGGCGCAGACACGAGGACGGAGCGGGGGGGTCCGAGGAAAGGGGGCCATGGCCCGGGCGGGACGGTGGAGACCGAGCAGGTGACGAAGGACCACGGCAGAGGGAGGCGACAGACAGCTGCAGCGTGGGCAGGAGCTGGGCAGGGGCAGCAGGCTCAGGGCCACAGGTGTGCAGAGGTCACACACAAACAGGCACACACAGGCCCACACTCAGCCCAACTCCACGCCCTGAGAGGGTCTCCAGGAGGTGCCCCAGGAGGAACCAAGGTCCTCAGAGAGAGGACAGATCGCCGAGCAGGGCTGAGCGAAACAGGAGGAGCCCGGAGCACGGGAGCCGGAAGTAAGGAAGCGGGCAGGACGTGGGCAGGGACAGGGCCCAGCATGGACCGGGTCGCACCCGTGGGGCCCAGGCGCTGGCTCGCAGGGCAGACAAGGAGCCGCCGCGTGACGGAGGATTCAAGCAGTTCATCAGCACGGGGTGGACAGGACACCACGCATCCCCATCATCGTGAGCCGACAACGCGGACAGGAGCCCTGCCCAGCGGATGCCACTGCTCTGCCCCAGAGGCTGGCAGCTGCCGCAGCAATGACCCAGCTGGAAGAGGGGGCAGGAGCAGCTGAGGAGGAGGAGGAGGGAGGAACGCGGGTGAGGCGTTCTTACAGGGCCCTCGCTGCAGGATGGCCGCAAGGACTTCTGAGTTGTCCAGGAACCCAGAGTGTGACGGCCTCCACGTCCACCCTCGGAGGCTGTAGCCTTTGCCAGGTGCCACCCAGGGCAGGATCAGCACCACCCCCAGAAAGGGAGTCAAGACACAGGGGTGTGAGCAGGTTTGTCCTTCACAGGAACGAGCTGGCAAAGGGTCAGGACAGAGCAGGAAAGAAACCCTCTCCACACAAATTCCATCATAGCGGATTTGGAGCTTCACTTGCACACCTCTTGTGACGGGGAACTCACTCCCTTGCAGGCACCCACTGAAGACCACAGCCAGGACCTTCCTCTCACCCCTGCCTGGTTCCCTCTGGCCAAGGTCAAATGACCATTGCCCAGAGGTCACTGCCTCATGTCTCTGCGCTTGGAGGGTTGCCGTGCTGAACAGGGTGGCCATCGAGCTGGTGGTGTGACCTTTTGCCTTATCCCTGTTCTCAAGTCTGTCCTGAACATCAGGGGCTTCTGCCGCTACCTTACACAGAGCTCCCCATACTGGCCACCACCCTGCTCGGTCCCGCAGCCCTGGACACGCACTTCCTGTCAAACTCCTTGTAGGCGCTCTGTAGCCAGCTCAGGGACGGCTTGTTGCGGCTGTTGAGGCCGTGGTGGAAGTAGATGATGGTGTAGTCGTGCTCCACGTACTGGTCCAGCGTGAACTTCAGGTACCTGTGCACACACACAGACGCATCACGAAAAATCACCTGCTTCTCCCCGAGATGCCTGCTGGTGCTGGCAGCTGTGGTCACCGGGCAGGTGCCACACAGCTCCTGTCCAGGGCCACCTGCAGACTCCGCTCACAGGGGACTGAGCCGCACACGTTCAGTCCCTTGCCTAAGGTCACACAGCTGCTTGGTGCACGGGTCAGGATGAAGTGTGAGCCCCAAGTCACCCCCGTCAAGTCCTCGGACCC